ATATGTTTAAAATTTTTGTAAAGAATTTGAAAATGATATAATAAGAATTTATAGTGATAGATAAATTGTATAATTCTAGTTTATTAATGAATTTTATACATGAAATTGTACATGAAACGACTGCACCATACTATCTTGCAATGAATGGTAAAGCAGAAAGAAAGAATAGAACTCTTACTGAACTTGTTATTGCAATTATGATGAATTCTGGTGTTGGGAAATTTTATTGACTATTTGTTATGTCCTGAATAGAGTCCCCAAGTAAAAATGTAAGATCCGTCCTTACGAGATATTAAAGAAAAGATAACCAAATTTGTCTTATTTGAGAACTTGGGGCTGTCTGGCTTATGTCAGAACTCCGGATTCAAAATGAGTTAAACCCGCTAGTAGATCATATGAAGGTGTTTTCATTGGGTATGCATCAAACAGTAAAGCATACATGTTTTATGACCTAAAGGCAAACGTGATCATAGAATCAAATGATGCTGAATTCTATGAAGTCAAATTTCCTTTCAAATTGAGAAATAGTGAGGGCACACAATCGAGTCACATTCCTGTGATAAGAAGCATAGAAAGCAACGACAATGTAGAAACTGAACTTCGACGAAGTAAATGAGTAAGAGTTGCTAAAGACTATGGGCCTGATTATGCGGCTTATAATGTAGAAGAAGATCCAATGAATCTTCAAGAAGCCTTGTCATCTCTGGATGCTGATTTATGGCAAGAAAATATCAATAATGAGATAGAACCTCTAGAATCTAACAAGACCTGTCACTTAGTAGACTTGCCTCCTGGTTGCAAACTAATCGGTTGTAAATGGGTTTTAAAAAAGAAACTAAAACTTGATGGAACTATTGATAAATACAAGGCTCGCCTTGTTGCCAAGGATTTTAGATAAAGAGAAAATAGAGATTTCTTCGACACCTTTTCTCCTGTCACTAGAACTACATCCATTAGGGTACTTATTTCAATAGCTGCTATTTATAACTTAATAGTACACTAAATAGATGTTAAAACAACTTTTTTTAAATGGTGACTTGGAAGAAGAAATCCATATGGAACAAGCGGAAGGGTTTGCGATCCATGGACAAGAAAATAAGGTATGTAAGTTAGATAAGTCTTTGTATGGGCTAAAACAAGCTCCAAAGCAATGGCATGTAAAATTTGATAACTTAATGATATCGAATGGGTACAAAGTGAATGAAGGTGACAAATACGTTTATTACAAATTTGAGAATTGCATTTGCATTATCATATGTCTATGTGTAGACGATCTACTCATATTTGGATTCAACGTTCAGGCCATTAATGATATGAAATTATTGTTGTGCAACAACTTTGATATGAAAGACCTCGAAAAAACGAGTGTGATTCTTGGTATCAAGATCACGAGATTCGAGCAAGGAATTTCTTTGGATCAATCACAATATGTGAAAAAGATCTTAAAGAAATATAATTACTTTGGTAGTAAACCTGTGAGCACACCAAATGATCCAAGCGTGAAGCTGTTTAAGAACACTGGTGAAAGTGTTAGACAAATAGAATATGCCAGCATCATTGGAAGTCTTAGGTATTCCATTGATTGTACTAAACCCGACATTGCATATTTCATGGGATTGTTGTGTAGATTTATTAGTAGACCGAGTAATGAACATTGACAAGCTATTGAGCGAGTCATACAGTACCTTAAAAGGACCATGAATCTCGGTTTACATTATCAGAGATTTCCTATTGTACCTGAAGGATACAATGATGCAGATTGGAATACCTTATCAGATGATTCCAAAGCGACTAGTGGATATATATTTAGTATAGCTGGAGGAGATATATCTTGGAAATCAAAGAAAAAAACTATCCTAGCTCAATCCACAATGGAATCTGAGATGATAACACTAGCCACAGCTAGTGAAGAAGCAAGTTGGTTGAGCTGCTTGCTAGCTGAGATCCCTTTATGGGAAAAACCTATGCCAGCTGTGTTGATCCACTGTGATAGTACCGCGACTATTGCAAAAATCAAGAACCGTTATTATAATGGTAAAAGACGTCAAATTAGAAGAAAGCACAACACTGTTAGAGATTGTATCTCTAAAGGAGCTGTAAGAGTGGACCATGTACGCACTGATGAAAATTTAGCAGATCCTTTGACGAAAGGATTAGCTAGAAAGTATAATACATCATATAAGATAGGACTAATGCCTATCAGAAAATGAGTTGCTCATGATGGTAACCTGACCTAAATGATTGGAGATCCCAAGAAATAGGTTCAATGGGTAATAACAAGTTGTGAGTAATATGAGATGATCATGCAAGTAAAGCATGCATCCTGAAGTAATAAGAGGATGAGATAATAGAAACTCTTAATGAGATCTATACTCTGTATGAGGGAGTACCTAGGCTACATGAGTACTCTTGATAGACTCACCTATGTGATTGTGGAACTTAGGCCAGTTCCTATGGAATTTCGAGGCAGAATTCCTAGAGCCTTCATTAAACTGGGATACACGTGAAGGGACATTAAAGCATGAGCTATTAGAATACACCTTAAGAAAAGGTTGTGTGCAGGTTTGATGTCTGAGATAGAGTTCAAGACATTTGTGTCACTCTTGTTGAATTGGAATCCTACTTGCTATGCAAAGGTTCAAGTCGTAGACACCTTTCTTTATGCATAATCTTAGAAACGTTTGACATTACTTCTAAAATCAATTTTTTAAATTCAAGTGGGGAATTGTTGGAACATGTCCATGTTCCAATATGTTGAATTTAAAAATTTCTCAAGTCCCACATTGTTAGAATATCTTTTTGGTTGAAAAAAACCATTTAGTACGACATTGCTCATGTAAGAAATATTAACTACCTTACTTCACTATATAAGGAGTGCACATGTTTCATTCCAAAATACACCAAAAACTATTCTATTAGTTTTTCCTTCCTCACTCTTATAACTCTGTGTCTCTCGAATTGTTGAAGTGCCATCTTCTTCCCTTTTCTTCCTACTCGTTGAATCTTCCGAGTATTTTCTTAAATTCTCTTTAGAGAATTATGTTAATATCTCCTCATTTGTGTTGAGAAATTTTCAAGTTTAATCTTTTGGATTCTCTTTGGAGAATTATTTGAATTTCTATTTGGAGAAATTATTATGAGTGGTCAAATGACCATTATTAATTTCTCTTTGGAGAATTATTTGAGTTTATTTTTGTTTGAGAAATTATTATGACTGGTCTTTGTACCAGATACTACGAGTAGTATTGATATTTGAATGGTCTTGTACCATCAGAGGGTGTATTTCTAGACCGATTATCTACCATGCAAGTAGTAATCGTACAATATAGAACTGGGCTGTTTTATCCTGAAGACGGCGTGGTAGTTCGACTGCTTTGCATAATTTTGAGTAGTACCACGAAACGTCTTAAAGAGAGCGACCTAGTCCGCGACTCAACCCGGTAATTTCTTCGGTGGTAAATATTTAAAAATCTGAAAACAACAGTTCAAGAGTTTAAATTCTCCAAGACTAAGATTGCTCATATTCATGTTTTAAGTTAGATCTTTGATCAAGGTACGCAATTCATATATTTATACAATCTTTAGATACTCATGAAACTTCATATAGATTCTTCTAAGCATTTCCCTATCATTCTTATTATATACTCTTTAAAATCATGGCTTTTCAAAAGAAAAAAAAACCAAAATTTGAAGAAGTGCAACCAGTTACATAAATAATGTAACCGATTGCTTCAATGTTTTCACTAAAATTTTGAATGTTGAAAAAATGCAACCGATTGCATAAAAAAGGAAACCTATTGTTTTTTGGTTGTATTTCAAATTTTTTGAACATTGTTGAAAGTGTAACCAATTGCATAAAATATGTAGCCAAAATGGTGACGACAATATCGAAAAAGAAATATCTCTCTAAAATGACTTATGCAATATTGTTTGGCAAACTATGAAAACATGAGATATAAATTGGAAGATTAGAAAAGCCTGAAGTACAAGAAAAGAAACCTAAAAGCATCGCTGATGACACTCTATCATTGCATGTATTCTGTCGAAGAAACTGAGAAAAAGAAGTCAAAGATCACCAAGTTTGATGAATAGCCAAAGGACGGAGCAAAAATGACCAAATATGAAGAAATAGGGACTTGGGGGAAAATTGAATGAAAAGGGAGCAAAAGAGAGAAAGTTACTAGAATAATCACACCACCATCGCGTGCGTAATGGACTTTCTAAACTTGTATCGCGCACGATGCAGTCATTGATGCGTGCGATATGCCCTTTATCTGGGAAATTTTTGACGCGATCTGACTGTTTCAAAAGGCTTTAAAAGGGAACTTTTGGCACTTTTTCAAAGTTTATGCAATTTTACACTGCAAGTCACGATTAACAACACCAGAAAGCATATTTGGAGCACATTTGAAGCTACTGGAGGCCAATTCTTCAAGGGATATCTTATACAAACCTCTTATTTTTATTTGGTATTGTAATTTATTCATTATGAGTAGCTAATTTTCTCCAAGTTAGGTTTTGTAGGATGAACCTATTTTAATACTGTTGGGTCATATGTTAGATTTGTTATTGCATGAATAATTTGAGTTATAATTCTATTCAATTGCTTCTTGTACGTAATGCTTTTTATGTGAGATACTCTTTTAATCTGAATTTGGGCACATAGGGAATACTGACCATTAGTCTATAGGTTGGACCTAGGGCCAATTGTCATACTTACACCAGTTAAATATGGATAGGAGACTTCGAGTAGTGGTTTATGAATTAACATACTATTGCATCGCTTAATACTCAGCAAACTCTAGTTCATAGGAAACCATAACCTCTTGAAGAGACTTTGCAGAAGTTCATTCAAGCAACCCAAAGTAGCTTTGAACATGTAAGAAAACAACATGAAACCATGAGTAATAACCATGATGCATCCTTAAAAAATTTGGAGATGCAAATTGGTAAACTTTCCTGCCAAGTGGATGCATTACCTGGTTTTGGTGGGGGATTCAATGGTAATACTGTTGATAATCTTAAGAATGAAACATGTAAGGCTTTGGAATCATGGTTTAATATGAACACCAATGTTTAAAAGGATGAGATAGTGGAAGAAGTAGGAATTGAGAGTGAGAAGGAAGTAAGTGAAAATGCAAGTGACTCCACTGAAAAAGGATTCACCATTGATCAGCTGATAGATAAAAACTCACCCTTGAGGAGGACTAAGAAACATATCCTGAATGACCATAGTCTTGAATTTCCCTACTATATCAAACCACCGTATCATATCCTTAAAAAGAAAGCAAAGGTGGAAGATGCGGGGCTATTTCAAAAGTTCAAGGAAATTATTGCTAAGCTTCAGGTAAGTATTCTTTTCAATGAATTTTTGTAACTAATGCCTAATTATGCTAAGTATATTAAGGAATTCCTCAGTGGAAAAAATAAAGAGAAAGAAGGTGAACATGTAGATGCTGCCATACCCAAAATTTGCCCCACCCTTAATTACATTGAGGTTTTCTTTAAATAAATCGTATCGTGTAATTTTTAATTTGCAGGGGTGTAAAACATAAAAGAAAGAGTGTTGGTTTTAAAATGGGCCATCAATATCTGATGGCCCATTAGGTTTTAAAATAAAAGTCCATGTCAAAAGAGATACTTTGTTTTTTGGTCAAATAATTGCATTAAGGCCCACTAAAATTCTTTTCTTTTAAAGAGGGTGTTTAAAGAATTGCATTCTATTTATTAATTCCCAATAAGGTTAAACATTGTGGCCCGACCCAATCGATTTTGTCAAGATTTTTTTCGACTCTAAAGACATAACATTTTTATCATCATTATCGAAATTCATATTATTAGAACTTTTTTGAACTTTATTTTTGTTTTTTAAAAAGGGATAATTAACAAAAAGGGCTATCAAATAACCTTTTTTACTTAGGCCCATCTTAACTTATTATATTGCTGTTTCAAATAAACAGAAACCAAATTAGGCCCAATAACTAATTGTATTAAGGTCCGTTGTGTTTATTTTGAGAACTATTTTTAATCACAAACAATGTTTTATTATTAATTTTTATTAATTAAAATGTTGTATTAAGGATTAAAATAAATTTCTGCTTTATTTGATTAAGAGAGGATTAAAGTAAATTTCTGTTTTATTTGATTAAGAGAAAAGGGTTGAAAGAGTTTTTGTTCAGGGCCAAATAACGGAAACGACATTGCCCATTAAGGTGTTTTATTGTAAGCTTTTTATAATTAAAACTTCATTATTTTGTAACAGGTCCAGCCCAAATAAAAATGCATACAATAAAAAAAACGTAATTATTTTCAAAAAGAAACATCTACTGTATCAATTAAAGACTAACACATTTTTTGCTTCATTCCACAAACACTTTAATGTACGAATCAAGCACAAAATTATATTCAAATTCATGCCAAAAAAGAAATAAAATCAACATTAATACAGAGCCATAATCAAGTTACACAGATCTGTAAAACTTTAATGAGAATCAATTCTAAGTTTCTAAAAAAACAATCACAAAATAAAGAAACTATTAAATTTGTTCCCTAAAACCAAGTTCCCAAATTGCTATAAAAAAACTCAGCTGACGAACAGTGGGGGGGGGGGGGGGGGGGGGGAGGGAAGAATAAACAGAAAAAGGTTACAATAGGGGGGAGAGAAAACAAACAATACATAGACGAAAAAAATAGAAGGAGAAATATACAAAAAAATAATTTTGTATAATAAAAGAGAAACATAGGGAATTCTCTTATCACTGTGAACCGCTAACCCTTCCCCGTGTAAGCTTCTTCCGTCACCGGGAACAACTGAAGATCCATCGGGCTTTTGCGATTCCGAGACCTCTGATCAACACCAGTCCACCGCCGGATCCGCTTCTTCGCTTTTAGGTAACCCATTTTTTTCCTTTTGACGCTGCTTTTGTGTTTTGATATGGAGTGGTTAAGAGGAATATGGTGGGACGAGACCAAGGAGAGAGATACTGGTGCCGCCGCTGTATATTATGAGATAGGGCTTGTGAGGTGAAGGAGAAGATAACCCGAAGAGAGAGAGAGAGAGAGAGAGATAAAGCAGAGAGAAAATGTTTTGAAAAGAGGATAAATTTTTGTGAAACATGGGAACAGAATAATTTTGAAGCGGCTGATGATGAGAGGCATTATCCTAGGTTTTTTTATGAGTTCCAATTGGGCCTAACATGGTTCACTATCCATTTTTAGCCCAACAACTTATTTTTGTTAGTATTTTTTTCTTCTTCTTCTTTGTCCATAACTCTTGGGCCTGACTTCACCCTACTTCTCACCCCCCGATTTTGCTAAGCCCCTCAAAGACATACCATGTTAGAACAAAGTTTGGTTCTAATCATATCTTAGAGTTTTGATGATAACAATGAAATAAAATTTTGTGAAATATATTTTATACTCTGACTTGTGTGTTCTCTAAGTTCAGATGATGTTCTGACTCATGCATCTTAGAAAGAAACAACATTCTATGCAAGTCTAAAGCAAACTCAAAATGAAGCACTCGAAAGCAAACTCTGATGAAGAGCAATACTAAGCAACCTATGATAAAGCTAGCTGAAGCAAAGATCTGAAAGAAGCATGCTGAAAGCAACATCTAATAATGCAAGATTAAAGTAAAATCTGATGAACACATAAATTGAATAATACCCTGATAGAAGAAAAGATAAAGTATACTCTGAAATGGCAACGTTGCAAGCAAACACTTAAACATCCACATACAAGCTCTGACAGTACCGTTGGTTATTAAATGCTAAGACGGCTAACGCACTCAAGTGTACTACGCACAATCATTGGAAACATAAAGACCAAGCCTACACGCATCATTAAATGCATGCACTCTCATCAAGGCAGTAACGATCAATAATTGGAAGCTATATATAGAAGACCTTTTATTTCAAAGAAAGGTTACTGATCCACGTAAAACATACTTACGCTCACTGTTTTCATACTTGTAAACTAATACTGTATAATGGGTGGATGTTAAGTATTGGGCAACAATCTTAGTGATAAATTACAGTTTGTGATAAAGCTTATTAGAAGCAATCTGTTTCACTACTATTAAGAGATGATTTTGTAAGTGTTCCTTGAGAGACCAGTTGGGTCAGATTTCTCAAGAGGGCTAGGACTAGTTGATTATTAGAGGTGTTAGTCACTTGCAGTTGGCTTGTGCATTGTATTGTTAGTCACAACAGTTTGGTTGTGCATTTGTAATCAGTTTGAATAGTGGGTTAAGTCCTCGTTGAGAGAGGCGAAATCACCTTGGCAGGTGGACTGGAGTAGTTTGAGTTTCAAACGAACCAGGATAAAAATACATGTGTCCTTCCATCAATATTACGCGAGAAAAAGGAAAAACTTATTCAACCCCCCTTCTAAGTGTTTTCTCACCCTTAAATTGGTATCAGAGCTCTAGTTCTGGGTGCAAACACCTAACAGTGTCAGAAAAAGATCCAGAAGGAAAACATATGGCAACTGAACAAAACAACAACAACAGCACCAAACCTCCTGTGTTTGATGGAGAAGACTTTGAATACTGGAAGGATAGACTAGAAAGTTTCTTTCTAGGTCATGATGCTGATCTATGGGATTTGGTCCTAGATGGGTACACTCATCCAGAAGACAAAGACGGAAACAAGATTGACAGAAAGAACATGGATAAACAACAGAAGTTAGATTTCAAGAATCACCACAGAGCCAGAAACATCTTTCTGAACGCTATCTCTAAAACTGAATATGAGAAAATCACCAACAGAGATACAACACATGACATGTTTGAGTCTCTCTAAATGACTCATGAAGGAAATGCTCAAGTAAAAGAGACAAAAGCTCTGGCTCTCATCCAGAAGTATGAAGCCTTTAAAATGGAATAAAATGAGTCTATTGAAGCTATGTTCTCGAGATTCCAAACTCTGATTACTGGCCTGAGAGTTCTGAACAAAGGATACACCAAGGCAGACCATGTTAAGAAAATTATCAGAAGTTTACCCAGAAGATGGGCACCTATGGTTATTGCATTCAAAGTGTCAAAAGATTTAAATGACGTATCCCTTGAAGAACTTATCAGTGCTTTAAGAAGTCACGAGATAGAACTTGATGAACATGAGCCTCAGAAGAAAGGTAAGTCTGTCGCCCTTAAATCTATTAAAAAATGTGAAACTAGCTTTTCAGGCAGAAGGAGGAAACTCTGAAGATTCTGCATCAGAAGAAGATGAGTTATCTATGCTCTCCAGAAGGATCAAGCAGATGTGGAAGCACAGACAAATGAAGTTCAGAAACTACAAGAGGTCAGAAGATAAACCAGAATCTTCTGGACATAAGAAGTCAAGAAGAAGAGATATAGTCTGTGTGATCGGTGGAAATAGAACTGACTGTTTCTAAGCTGGTTTCGCAAAATTTCGCGGTAAGAAAGAGTCGCCACCGTCTTTTATGTTCTCCAACATGGAAAGGACAAAAGCACAGCAAAATTCCTTATTCGAGAATGTCTCTCGGTTCGGGAGGTAGATTTATAGAAAGGGAAGGTGTTAGCACCCTTTCTATCCATGGTTATCCACGGGCTCTTAGGTACTTGCTCTTATGTTTTCAAAATTGTTTGCTTTTTAAATGTGTGTGTGGGTTTTGAAAAAGTTTCGTTTGAGTGACTCTTGTATCTTTCCTCAAGAGTGTATGAAAAATTTGTTTTGAAAACTTTTAGAGAAGTGTAAGGTGTGAAAAGTATTTTGTTTGTTTGAAAAGAGCAAGTACTTAAGAGAATCTACCTACTCTAAGGAATTAAGCTGCATAAGAGTCCTTTAGATAGTGCTATCCCACCATTGAGAGGTAGGTAGCACCATCGTTGGAGGTGTTCGGGTCAATTCGATTAAGGGACAGTGTGGTCACCGAAGCAATGGTAGGACATCTTAGAAGTAACCCTAATATCCTAGATCCTTTTATCCGAGGCAACTGTTTCGAGGCAACTGGATCTTTAGACAAAAGGGCGACTTTTAAGACACCCTATACTTGATGACCACGTTTCGAGGCAACGAGTGAAGCGTACCCTAAGAGTGGCATGTGCTTTGTGTGTTGTATTCAGTTAATGTTTGTCTTTGTAATTAGTGAGCTACGAGTTGTTTTTATTTACCATAAATTCTTTCATGCATTTAACAGTTAGGGGGTGCGGAAAGTAAATTGCGGAAACATAAATCCTACGCTATTACAAGGCACGGGTCTATACATCGCCAAAAATACAAAGACCCGTTTTTAGTAAATAAGTACGGAAAGTAAATAAAAACAATAAACCTAATTACTATTACAATCTTGAAAGCAATTACATAATAATAAACTATGCGCGAATAAAAATTAAATCGGAAATGTTCTAAGGGTGTTGACCCTTTTGAGAAAAAGAAATTGAATTTTTTTTGGTCTTTTTGGTGATTAAATGAAATTAAAAACTAATTGTTAAACTAGTTAATTAATTTATTAAAAGAAAATATATTTTTTGTGTTTTTTATGTTTTTTATGGAATAAAATAAAAAGAAATAAAATTAAAAGTTAATTTTACCTAATTCTAAATCTATTTTAATTATTAAGAAAAGAAGTTAAAATTGCCTAATTAAACTATTTATTTGTTAATATTTTATTTACAAAAATAATATGAGAATAATAATAATAATAATGTTAATTCTATTTTTTGATTTTTTATGAAAATATGTTAATTATGTTAATTGTTAATAATAAAAATAATTAAAAGGTTAATAATTAAGAAAAATGTAAAAAAAAAGAAAAGAAAAGAATAAATCAAGGGAAGGGGGTACTGGGCTAGATGGAGGTGTGCATAGAATTATGGCCCATTTAGAAGCCATGTTGACCATTGGAATTGAGTGGAGCGCTGTTGACTCCTGAGCATGGTGCTCTTGCTTTCTGGACCTTTGGATTTGCATCTGTGGACACTTGACTGGCTTTTGGATGAGGTTTATGGTGCACATCATTTGAGAATCTGCACAGGAATACCTTGAAAAAAATAATATGAGAATTATAGGGGGACCTGGGAATCAAACCCAGGTCCCAGAGATTACAAGCCACGTCTTCCACCACTGCATCACTTAGGCGCGTTTGTAAGTAGAGTGAGAAACAAACATTATATCAAGTAAACACGCCATGTGCTGAAAAATAAAAAAGAGCGCGCGTGGTTTGAATCAACCACACACGCACAGCCACCTCATCATCGTCTTCCTCTTTTCTGCAAAATAGAAATAAGATAGCGGGGGTTTTTAACCCCCACTAAATGCAATGACAGAAAATAGCGAATAGAAATAGGGGTAACATAAAAAGGGCGCGAGGTATCCATCCCGTTCGTCTCATCATGCTGAGTTTGACCATATATGTTTGGAATCCTGATTTTACAGTATAGCAAAAGCCCCAATTCTAAACCTTAAAAACCCTAAAGTGTTTCAATGGCAAGTCATGATTATGTACATGATAATGAAATTAGACAATGCCAAAAGCTTTGGGAAGATGTCAGCAACACAAATCAATCAAGAGAATGTATTAAAAACGCATGGAATATGATATGTAGATTTGGAAATATATGCAAACCGTATGAGTTGTGTGCTTTGATTCTGATGGTGTTAGGGCTCGTTTTTGATAGCAATAGACTCCTGGAGATTCAGGCAAGCTGTTTGAATCCAAAAGAGGCTTTGAATTACGCTGCAAATAGGTTTTCGGTTTCTCACTTTTTCTTTGAAATTTTGAAATTGCTTATGCTGTATGGGAGTGTTCTAGGTCGTGTTCTCTGTTGCCAAGGCTTGCATATATGTTTTGTAATGAGAATCAATCAATATAATGAACATTAAACCAATGCAATTATGTTCTTGGTTTTGCCATAAACTCCATTGAAGAAAACTTGCCTTTTGTGTCCAAT